CCCTACACCATAATTGGCATCTGCCAGCATGGGAACTGTAAATCAGCAGCAGCAGCTTGCTGTTCTCAGCATCTTCCTTACCTTTTTGTCCTCTGAAGATACAATCTAGGTCTCCTGCACAGCAAGACAGTCATAAAGAAAAGCTACTGCTCATGAGAACAGGCACAAGAAGGAGGTAATAGAAAGTGCATTTAAGAGGACCAGACCTGTTATTTTTAAAGACAGCAAATTTTGCACACACAGAGGAAAGATTTCTATGATGATTTAGATGTTTAGACTATGAATGACTTTCTGTAATTGTTCCAATACATTTCATTATTAAAATCAAATTCGCACTGAACTCTACTCTTCTTCTTAAGGAGCTCACAGGGCCAGCACCAGTGTGCTCAGTGTTGGAAAACAGGAAGAACTTACTGCAGCATTCCCCCTCCCAAAGAACATCCCTGATTTACAATCCCACTTAGAGCAGAGTGAGAATTGAGATAAACTATTTTTGACTGCAGCACCCATGCCTTGGTACAGCTTATCATACAACCCATACAACTTGGAAGGATTCACTGCAGACACAGGACTATGACTGGGGGTTCCACTGCTGTTCTAGGTCTCTTAGCCCCCCTGCAGAAAGGTAACTTCTTCCTCCATACAAAAGCAACTCAGCAGAATGCTCAAAGCAGCCACTCTCTCAAAGAAAAACTTAAGTTTAGTACAAAACTTTATTATGCAGAACTATAAAAGTGAACATAGAGAATCTGAGCAGGCCTGGAGCCTGTTCCATCCATCAACCTCTGGGACAGCAGCAAGGCCCAGGCAGCCTTGTAAACAAACTAGAAAAAGCAAAACTTTTCAGTTTAACAGCAGTCATAAGATTTGGCTCTGAGCAGAGGTGTTTGGAAGAAATTGCTCATTTCTGCTTTACAATACTTTCCTTCAGCATTCTAAAGCATGTAGGCATGGGTGAAAAAAATTTACCTAATCAGTGGCAAGGAAAAGCCTAGAGCTCTGAAAATAGAAACTACAGAATCAGTAGGTGCCCAGCTCCATACTGCCCTTGCATCCCCTGAGACAGGTGAAGAGCTCTGGCATCATCATGTTCCTCGTGGTATAGTTAAATGACTGCAAGCACAGAATAGGCTAAGCCTGAGGTCTTTACAGATGTGTATTTTCCAAGAAGCTTGCATATGGGAGAGCTTGGTGTTCCCTAGGCTACCCAAGTAACCCATCACCTCACCCCTGTAAACATTCTACCTTTTTAGGACATTAACCTTGTTAACAAGGGATTTCTTAACTCATTTTTACTAGAACAGGCTGGGGACCCTGTTGTGAGCTGCTCCACAGCAGACTACAGGAGATGGTAACGTCTGACAAGTCATGACAAGCAGATGTGGCAGACTGGAAGAAATAACTTCAGCAG